TGAGCCCGAACCAAACCATGGGGGGCCCTGAGTGTGAATCCTGCCTGAAGCGAGGGATGTAACTTCCAGGTACTTCTTTCTCTCTTGCCTCCTCGCGTGGTGGTTCGAGAGCCTGCGGGCACCTGCAGCGCCTGCTACCGCAGGCTGATAGATGCCTTTTGTCTCTACTGGTTTGAGTTGAGACTCTCCTTAGCAATGGCGAGTCCTGACCAATCACCCACCTACTGGGTGAGTGACGGAAACCTCCTTCTCCAGACCATGGCAGAGGCTCTTAATCATCCAAGTGGCCCGTCTCTGCCGGTTGATACAGGCTTGGAGCGGGGGGGGGGGGGGGGGCCTGGGCCAGAGGAGCCTGACGCTGGACGGCTGGCTGGCCGGGGCTCTGTCTCCAGAATGTGAACTGAAAGCCCCATGGTGGAGGTGGATGCCTGAGCTCATGGTCACGCGGGGTCAGGCTGGAGTTTCTGACTCCATGAGACCAATGGCCAGTCACAGAGGCAGGGCTGACGCTCACAGAGGGCCAAGGAAGTCCATCTGCCAGAGGAGGGAGACTGGTGAGCTGTGAGAGGGAGAGCAGGACGGACAGGGTGCCAAAGAGGGAGTGAGGCATCGGGACAGAGCCAGACCAAGGTTCAGGGAAACAGTGAGAAGCAGAGATGACAGGGAGGGGTCAGCAGAAAGGCAGAGAGAGATTGAATTATCCAAAGTAGCCGCAGCAACGTATGTCCTTTGCCCACTGAGATCCTGGGAATGACATCGACGGTCCTGACGGAGAGGTGGGCAAGCTACGGGTGCCCCTTGGGCCCACAGAACCGGGTGACTTCTCTGACCACCAGAACGCAGTGGCTCCCGCCTGGCTCTCTCCCTCTCTCGGATACTCCCCTGGGAAGCCAGCCCCCACGCTGTGAGGAACCCAAGCCCACAGGGAGGCCGCGCGTGGAGTCCTGACTCACAGCACCAGCCTGTGGGCCAGCCTTTGAACTCAGATGTCCTGAGGCACAGACAAGCCGTTCCTGCTGGGCCCATCCTAATTCCCTGGGAGAGGCCATGTGATCACTGTCCTTGGAAGCCACTAAGTTCTTGATCACCTGGTAATTGATGAGGAGAAAGAGGGAGAGAGGGAGACACACACAGAAAGAGACAGTGCCTCAGAGGTAGGCAGAAGTAGAGACAGAGACACGCACAGAGCTGAGCAGCGTCAGAGACACCGCGAGAGCCAGAGAAGCTTCCGGGTCCAGTGCGGCCCGTGTTTCTAGGCCACCTGCTGTCCCCGAACCAAACTGAAGACTACTTTTTCTTTAATTTTTAAAAAAAATATTAATTTTTAAGAGAGAGAGTGAGAGAGCACACGAGCAGGAGGCAGAGGGAGAAGCAGACTCCCCGCTGAGCAGGGAGCCTGATGCAGGACTCGATCCCAGGACCCTGGGATCATGACCTGAGCCGAAGGCAGACAGATGTTTCACCGACTGAGCCACCCAGGCACCCCTGAAGACTCCTTTTGACTGAGACCAGCTTCTGCGGGTCTGGCCCCCTCACAGGAACGAATACAACCTTCACGTGCCCAGCGCTGCTGGGAGGAGGGTGTTTCCTGTCCTCTGGGCCCCAGCTGGGCTCGTGGGGGTGGCAGGGGGAATCACCCTGGGTCTCCTTGGAGTCCTGCATCTTTTTCCTCCTTCCTGCAGACAGCAGACAGCGTGCCCCTTCCCAAACCTGATCCCATCGCCGCGCCCCGACGACTTCCCCGTGACACGGGGACAGGCTCTGTCAGTAAGCTGGCCCACGGGGCCTCCCCTCCGTGGCCTGGGGAGTGGCCTTTGCGCGACCGTCCAACTGTCTGTCCCCTGGGCCCCGATGTTTCCTGTCTCTTTGTGGTGAACTTCACACCCTTCTCTGACTCCTGCTGAAACCCCCCATCCCCCAGCCCTGCTCTGTCCCTCACAGCCCTGGCGCAGCCGGTGGTCTGTGATTCTGGCTCCATGACCAGGTATATGTGTTTCCTGCGGCTGCCCCCATAAGTTACCATGCTCTTGGTGGCTTAACCACAGAAATGTATTCTCACCCAGTTTAGAGGGCAGAGGTCTAAAATCAGTCGAGGTGTCTGCCCAACCGTGTTCCCCCTGGAGGTTGTAGGGGCACGTCCTTCCGGTCTCTTCCTGCTCCCGATGGCCCCTGACTTCCTTAGCTGGGGCCACATCCTCCAGTCTCTGCCTCGTTCACACGTGGCTTCTCCCTGTGTGTCTCAGTTTCCAGTCATCCTTTGCCTTTCTCTTATCAACACACCCGTCATTGGATTTAGGGCCTCGCCTGAGTCCAGGGTGCCTGAGATCATTACCCTAATTACATCTGCAAACCCCCTTTTCCCAACAAGATCACACTCACAGGTTTCAGGGGTTAGGAGGTGGACTTATCCTCCTGGGGAGCCACCATGCACCTGGCTGCCTTGGACCATGGGTTCCGTGGACAGGGTCCAAGTTGGCTCACGCATGCACTCGGAACCAGGCACAGTGCCTGGACGAGGAACCTTGTCAGTTCTGGTCGATGAATGGCTTTATCCATTTGTTCAATAACAAGTCCTGTGAGAGAATAAAAATATCCATTAGACCAGAGGCAGCTTTCGAGGAACGCACGCGTCTGCAAGCAAGAGAGAGAGCAGCTTGGCGCAGGGCTCTAAGTCCAGGTGGGAAGAGAGAAACGTGGCGGGTGTGAGGGCAGAGGCAGGCAGAGAGCCCAGGTGCCCGCTGCTTGGGTGGGGGCGGGGAGGCATCTGGGGAGCCAAGGCACATGTCCCCTTGGGCGGCTGACGTGGAGATGGGAGGGCCTGAAATGTGCAGACACCCAGTTCTGGTTGTGTCTTGGGAGCTGCAGGAGGGAGGACGTTGGGGCGTGTGTACGAAGGGCCCCACGTGTCCAGCTAAGGAACACATGGGATTTCCGAGGATCGCTTAGGAATCGTCAGCCCCGGGGGACAGAGGCTGAATCTCAGGGAGTGGCTCAGCAGGAGAAATTAACCTTGTGGGGAGGGAGGGAGGGGGGTAGTGGGAGGCAGGCTGGTGGGGAGCAACCTGAGGGCTGGGGTAGGGTCCCAATCACTCTGGTTTTAAAACTGGGAATCCTGTGTTAGGGAACCCGCTTGGTCTGGGGCAAAGTGGGAAGGTTGGTCTCCTAGGAGGGGGGTGAGTCATGAGGCCCAGGCCACACCCCAGACCAACTGTATCAGGACCTCTGGTGGGGGGGTGGGGCCAGGCTTCCTTTTTTTTTTTTTTCAATTGTGGTATGATATACATAATAAACTTTACTACTTTAACCTTATTACTATTTTTAATTTTAACCTTTTAAAAGTGTACAATTCAGTAGTGTTAAGTACATTGACACCATTGTACGTTGGTCAATCTCCAGAACTTTATCATCTTCCCAGACTGAAACTCTGTGCCCTTTAAACAAGTCCCCATTCTCCCCTTCTTTAGCCCCGGGCACCCATGCTATTTTCTGTCTCTATGAATTTGACTCCTTCAGGTGCCTCATATAAGTTGAATCATATAGATTTGTCCTTTTGTGACTGGCTTATTTCACTTAGCATGATGTCCTCAAGGTTCATCCATGTTGTAGCAGGTGTCAGAATATCCTTTTTTTTTTTTTAAAGATTTTATTTATTTGAGCGAGAGCGAGAGCATGAGCGCACAAGCAGGCAGAGGGGCAGAGGGAGAGGGACAAGCAGACTCCCCACTGAGCAGGGACCCCATCTAGGGGCTCCATCCCAGGACCCTGAGATCACAACCCCAGTTGAAGTCAGACGCTTAAGGGACTGAGCCACCCAGATGCCTCTTCCTTTTTAAGGCTGAGTATCATTCCCCTGGATGACCAGACCACACTGTTTATCTACTGCACGGCTGAGGGGCACTTTGGTTGTTTCCGTGCTTGGGTGTTTTGGAAGCTCCCAGAGGTTCCCCGCTTGCAGCTGTGATGGAGGACCTGCGAGCTGGGCACGCCCCTGGCTCCCTGCCCTGTGGCACCAAGGGCGTCACCCCCAAGCCTCTGCCAGGGGTGCTCTCTGCTGTTATCAAGTCCAAACAGCATTGCAGGAAGCCCTCTTCCCCCCACCAAACACCCTCGCAGGGCCGGCCAGGTCCGTAGCCAAGGGAATCCGAGCTCAAGAATGCAAACTCAATACACACACAGTTTGGACAACATTTAAGAAGCCAAAGTGCAGGAAAATGTATGCCTTTGTTCCTTAATTTATTCAATAAATGCTTTCTTTGTGCGAGACAGTGGGCTATAATTTAATAGACGAGATCCCCGCCCTCATGGAAGGAATTCCGGGGGCGCACTCATCTCTTAGCACGGAGATACATGCCCACGGCAGCGGTGCCCAGCTCGCCGAACCTGCTGCGGGGACCAGGGCTGGACGTCCGGCACCTTCGCATCCACGCTCTCCCGGGGCTGCTCCAGGATGAGCGTGGGGACCACCAGAGCTGCTCACTGTGCCCGGCGCAGTCCTCCTTCACCCGGGACTCCCCGGACGCGCCGCCGGCCGGGCTGGAGTCCGGTTCCGATCGGCCTCCCGAGCTTCCCGCGGCCCCGCCCATACCCGCGAGGCACAAGGCCACGCCTCCTTTGCGGGGGCGGGCCCGGGCCCGGCCAACCAGAGCTCCGGGCTAAGAGTTAGGCTCCGCCCCCCCCAGGTGAGCTTGTTTTCCCAGACTCCTCCACTCCGGTGGAGAAACCATCGCACTGCCGGCGCGCGCCTCCGATACGGCGCGCCTCCGGACAGCTCGCGCCCCGCTTCGTTGGGCCTCACGTCCGGACCGGAGGCCGGAGGTGGACGCGCTGGCACCCCGCGCGGGGCCCCGTAAGCCCTTGAGGGAGGTGCAAGCCCGCCGGAAGTCGCGCCCCCGACGCGGCCCACCTGCCCGCGGCGCCGGAAGTGGACGCTGCTGCCCTGCTTCCGGTCGGCGGGGCGCGCTCGGGCCGGGGCTGCGGACCGGGGCAAGTCCGGAGCGCCCATGGCGGAGGGCGGCGGTCCGCACGGGCGGGCCGGGCCGGGGCCCGCAGGTAACGTGCGCGCAGCCGTCGGGCCGCGGGGCGGCGGGGCAGCGGAGGGCATGGTCCAGCGCCCTGGCCGAGGGACTCCGGCGGCTGCTCCCGGGCCGGGGCCGTGCCTCCTCGTCCCCGGCGGGCCAGGCCCATGGAGCCGCGCCCTGCCGCCAGGGCCGGGTCAGCGCGGCGCGCCGTACGGGGCGGCCCCCGGCCTGCTGCGTGTGCCTGCTCCTCGGCCTCGCGTGGACATCCTCGCGCTGGGGTTCCTCTCCTGTGGAACTTGCTTTCTAACTGCCGGTCCATGAGCCGGTGGGGATTTGCTAGGACCCTTACTGTAAGAACAGGACATGGATCATCTTCCAGCTCTGAGCGCACGGGTCAGGAAAGCCCCCAGAGGTCAGTCCCTCGGGACGACAGGTGTCTTTTCTCCACCCTGTCACCTACGGCTTGCCTGGGGTGCTACCGCCCATGCACAGGCAAGGGACAGCGATAACGGCATCCCCAGCGAGCTGTCCGTGACACAGCATGTCCAGGGGCCTGTGGCCCACCCGCAGAAGAGGCGGCTAGAAAGCCTCACGCTCACCACCCAGAATAGCCCTCAGATGCAGGGTTTGCACCCGGAGACCTTACTACTAAGCGGATGTGAAGTTGCTGTGTTCAGAAGAGGTTCCCTCTTGCCTTGTGGGATTTCCCCTGTGTTAGTTGCTGAATTTGCCCTGTGTACCCAATGTGGAGGCTGATCAGAGAAACGCAAACCTTAAGTTGTGTTTGGATCTGGAGCTGGGTGTAGAGGAGGCTGCGTTGAGCTGGGCCAGGGAGTGGGTTGAAAAGAGGCCGGCAGAGGGAGGCCCAGAGAAGAACTTAGCAAAAATCTGTGGCTCCCACTTACCCGTCGGCCTTTGCTCTACACTTTCTGAATCTTACTGGCTTCTGCTTTGGGAGCTTTTTCACTGTGTGGGGTGAAACTGCAGGGTTGCCACTGTGGAGGAGAACAGCTGAAGGAAGATCGGGCGGCGGCCCTAAGGGTTCCTTGAGGCCTGCCTGCTGATGGGCTGCAGGTGTGGTTGTGGGATCCGCTTGAGTGACCCCTGTGTGCGTGAACGCGGGCTGCCCTGCCCACCTGCCAGTGAACTTTTGAGTCCTGAGGGGCAAGGAAGCTTACTCATCACCCCCCTTGTACTTTGGTCAAGTCTTGTCTGCAGTAGGTATTCAAGAGATTTGATTTGAATGTAAAAGCAACTTTATCATTAGAAAGAGTCCACCTGTGGAGGGGCGTGCTTTCCATCTGTGCCTCTTCACATGCTGGGAGTCCGCCTCCATGCTCGTTCCTTATGCCCCTGTCTGTAAGGATGTCTGCAGAACTGTTGATTATCTGGAGATTATTTCTGGGCTCCAGTGTGAGGGGGGAAAAACTCGATAATTTGCAAACAGGTACCTGATTTTACAAATGTGTTGACTGCTTATTTTTCATAACTCTGAAGGCTGGGAAGTCCAAGACCAAGGCCCAGCACATTCTTTGTCTGACAGGGCCCTGCTTCCTGGTTCCTAGGTGGCAGTATTCTTGCTTTGTCCTCACATGTGGAGGGTGTGTGGGAGCTCTCTGGGGTCTCTTTTATAAGGACATAATCCCATTCGTGAAGGCTCTTCTCTCATGATCTGTGCAATCACCTACCAAAGTCACTACCTCTTAATACCATCACCTTGGAGGGTTCAGATCCCACCGTGTTTTGTGGGGGAGACACAAACGTTCAGTCTGTAGCAGCTGCTCTTTCTATTCCTCACTGATTTCGATACCCGTTTATACTAAGGTCTTTTCTGGGCAATTGATTCTGTTTGATTTATTTTTTATTCTGATAAGAGATAATAAGTTCTGGGGCGCCTGGGTGGCTCAGTTGGTTAAGTGGCTTTGGCTCAGGTCATGATCCTGGGGTCCTGGTATCGAGCCCCACAGCTGGCTTCTTGCTCAGTGGGGAGCCTGCTTCTCCCTCTCCCTCTGCCTGCTCTTCCACCTGCTTGTGCGCTCTGTCAAATAAATAAATAAAATCTTAAAAAAAAAAAAAAGTTAAGTTCTGTTAACTGGTAGGGTCGTTTTTTTCTCATACGTACTAAAAAACAGGTGATTTTTTTTTTTTAAAGATTTTATTTATTCATTTGACAGAGAGAGACACAGCAGGAGAGGGAACACAAGCAGGGGGAGTGGGAGAGGGAGAAGCAGGCTTCCCGCGGAGCAGGGAGCCCGATGCGGGGCTTGGTCCCAGGACCCTGGGATCATGACCTGAGCCGAAGGCAGACGCTTAACGACTGAGCCACCCAGGTGCCCCAAAACAGGTGATTTTTCATTTATATTTCCAGATAAACTTTTTTTTTTAAGTAAGTTCCACGCCCAGCGTGGAGCCCAGTGGGGGGTTTGAGTTCAGGTCCCTGACATCAAGACCTGAGCTGAGAGATCAAGAGTCAGACGCTTAACTGACTGAGCCACCCAGGTGCCCCTCCAGATAGACTTTTATAATATTTTTGTCACATCTCATATAAAAACTCCGAATTTATTAAACCACTTAATTTGTTATCCCTTAAAACTTTTTTAGCATTGACTCATCCTGTCCAAGCACATGGTATGGTTTACTCTAGTCATCTTGATTGTTTTCCAGTTTTATAGTCTTCATTATGTGAAGCTGGCTTTCTATTTATATGCGTATATTTTAACATTTTCCTTCTTACTGAGGTGTAACTTACATTCAGTAAAGTGCACCCATCTTAGGTTGCCGTCTTATGAGTTAAGCATGGAGACTCCTGTGAGGTCATGGCCCAGGTCGGCTTGCTACAGTCATCCGTTGCAAATAGCATTTGTTTGGCTGTTGAATTTTGCCAAATCCAAGTGTCGTTTTGTAATATGGGAGATGATTATATGGTTTTCCCCAATATTAAGACACTGCTACATTCTTGGGATAAATAGAGTAATATTATGGTGGATTTTTGATACGTATTTTAAGTTGCACCTTGCTAATATTTTAGTTAGGATCTTCCGTATTCTTCAGTAAGGTTGATGCATTGCCTCCTGTCCCACCAATGTTTTAAAAATTATTATCCTTGTCAGGTTTTGTGTCAGGCTTGTGCTTGTTTCACTAAGGAAAACTTTCTGTATTTTTCTTTTTCTTTTTTTTTTTCCAAAGATTTATTTATTTATTTTGAGAGAGTGAGAATGAGAGAGAGAGAGAGTGTACATGAGAGGGGGGAGGGTCAGAGGGAGATGCAGACTTCCCGCTGAGCAGGGAGCCCGATGCGGGACTCCATCCCGGGACTCCAGGATCATGACCTGAGCCGAAGGCAGTCGCCCAACCAACTGAGCCACCCAGGCGCCCAGGGAAACTTTCTGTATTTTTCTAAGCCCTGGGCGTTTCTGGAGCATGGGAATGATTTATTCTTGCGAGTTTGAGGTACCCAGGTAGACTGAAGACAAAGGGATTGTTGCAGACGGCGCCCCCTAATGGTTGGTGTTGGCAAGGTTTTCCCTAGCTGACAGGAGCCCCTCTCTTCAGTGCAGGTCCCAATCTGAAGGAGTGGCTGAGGGAGCAGTTTTGTGACCATCCGCTGGAGCACTGTGGGGACACGAGGCTCCATGATGCAGCCTACGTGGGGGACCTCCAGACCCTCAGGAGCCTGCTGCAAGAGGAGAGCTACCGGAGGTGAGCATCACTGTCCTGGGGCTGGCCCAGTGCTGTCCGAAGCTGAGGTGCGTGATCTGTGAGGGCACTATGTCTCCCTGGTGAGCAGGTGAAGACCCTGATGCTTTCCAGTGTTAGAGGACAGGGGAGGAAAGGAGACCGAGGAAGCATGGCCAGACTTGTAGGAGATAGCCAGGGAGTGAGGGTAGGAGACCTGAATTCAAGTCCGGATCGGTCATTGACCTTTATATTTTCTGGAAACTTCTGGCCCCTTCTGGTGTCAGCTTTCCTGATGTTAGTCCTGATGGCAGCACTGTTACTGTCTTCAAGAGTGGTCCTGCCCCCTTCCAAGTCTCTTGTGGCTCTTTACCCTAAGCTGTATATGTGAGTTCACCTAACTTTGTTATTTTCATGTGGTTACACCCCTGTGGGTGCATATTTCCCGATGTACCCTCCTCTGGCATCTCTGATCCCCAGCTGTCTGCCTCCCGGGCCTGGGGCTCAGCCTCAGACCAGCTGTCTCATCACCCGGGGGTATGCTGTGTGTTCACCTTCTTATTCCCTTTGTTTGTAGTGCCCAGCCTGCTGCCCGCCAGATCCCGCCCATTCCTGCCCATTCCTCCACACCGGCTCAGGCTCTTCCTTTGAAGCAGCAGGTGTTGATACTACTCTTTTCCCACCAGGAACCCCTGAGAGAGCACAGAGTCTTCCTTCCCTCTGGGTGTTCTCTGATTGCTTTGTGGGTCGAAGATTGGAGTCCCAGCTAGATTAGCAACTGACCTGCAACCAGAAACTCCTTCCTGCTTTGTGTTTCTTTCCCCTTCAGGGTTAAGATGGCAGTGAATTGATAGAAGAAATGTCTTCGTGTCAATATTGAAATGAATGCCGCTTATGAATAGCTCCCAAGAGAAGGATTTCTGACAATTTAAGAATAGGGTTCTTTTTTTTTTTTTAACTTCTGATGTCTTAGCATTATTTCATCAGAATAGATACCAGTATTTAAAAAAAAAAAAAAGCTCTAAATATCCAGAAAGGATTGTCATACAAAGATGTCAAATGGATTCTGCATGAATATTTAATGCAAATGACTCAGGCCCGAAGGAAACCTTAAATTTGCAGAAGCAACAGTAGAATAAAAACAATAGAATAAAATAGAGCTCAACTAGGTATTTTCATATTGCTTTTCCAAGTACTTTTTTTTCTTTCTTTTTCTATTTGAGTAAATCTGTTTCTCGATGATCTGTTTCTGTTGCTCTGTACTTTGACCATGAGTCCTTGGAGTGTTCCTTGGTCTTCTTGGCTAGTGGGAGCCAGTGCTCAGCTGAAGGAGGAAGCCCTGGCCCACTGTGTATCTCTGTGTCACTCTTCAGTGGGCTGGATGGCCAAGCTTTGTTCACAGCTGCACTGGGAGCCTGAAGTGAACTGTGTCTTGGTTGATGACATGGTGAGTCAGTGGGCTGCATGGCCACGGCATTCCTTGACAGGGAGTCACAGTCTGATCGTCACTTTTGATGAGAGCTGAGCGTAGCCCGTTGCCCTCTGCTGGTGCTGGCTGGGAGTGGAGCGCTGCGTGGCCTTGGCCATTTCTGCAGGCTGTCATTTGTGCTGTGTCACAGGGAGAAGGATCACAGGGGTCACCTGCTCCCAGTGGGGATGCCAAGGCCCAACCTCAGGCCTCCACAGCGAGTGGCTGGTGAGAAGGGGCCTCAGGACCATGGCGGGATGCCAGCGCGTGCGCTGCTATCCATCCTGCGTTGCCTCCCTGGGCACACCCTTCCACCCTGTGGGAGATCTGAGATCTTAGCTCTGCGCCTCAGTGTCCTCCACTGTGGAATGGGCTCTTCAGATCTGCTCTGCTCCACGCCCAGATCCAGCATTTCATAGAACAGAGCACACACGGAGGCATTCTTGAAGCCTGGGAGTGTCCCCGTTTGAAGAGGTTGCCCTCCTGTTCTCTGTTTCCGGCACGGACCAGTATGGGAGGAAGCAGGGCGGCTTGTGGGTTTCCCAGCTGCCCCTCACAGCCTGGCTCCCCTGTGTTTTTTCTTAGCCGCATCAACGAGAAGTCTGTCTGGTGCTGCGGCTGGCTCCCCTGCACACCGCTGAGAATCGCGGCCACCGCGGGCCACGGGAACTGTGTGGACTTCCTTATCCGGAAAGGGGCCGAGGTGGATCTCGTGGACGTAAAAGGACAGACTGCTCTGTACGTGGCTGTGGTGAACGGACACCTGGAGAGCGCTCAGATCCTCCTGGAAGCCGGCGCCGACCCCAACGGAAGCCGACACCACCGAAGCACCCCCGTCTACCATGCCTCGCGTGTGGGCAGGGCTGACATTCTGAGGGCCCTCATCAGGTCAGTGCTGCGGAGGCCTGGCCGCCCTCGCCCCGTGGCCGCTACTTCCTGTGGCCACATTCTCTTTCCCTGTTGTCTGTATTTACTTCTCTCTGTGTAAAGTTAGGCGTGTTGGAAGAATTGTCTGTTAGTCTTTTTAAAGAGCTACTTCTTAGCTCTGTCAGTTTTCTTATTTTTCTGCTTACTAATTTCTATTTTTTTCCCCATTTTCCTTAATTTTTATCTTTTTTCAGTTGAATGACTGATTATTCATTTTTGTTCTCAAGGTGTCAGCTTCCAAGGTTATTATTACCTTTGCCTTTAGCTTTGGTCTTATCTGCTAAGTTTTTACAGCATATTTAAATTAAGTATTACTAAAGTTGATTTCCTCTTTGTTCTTATGGAGGAGAAAGGGTTAATATACATTTTTTATGAACTACTTTTATTGTATTGTGCTCAGATAACCTGGAGCGTATAATTTGCATTTTGGGGCTTCTTTTGAGTTTTTAATTTTTTTCTAATGTCACACGATGTTGTTGTGGGTTACGCTCATTATTAAACCAAAGGGGAGCTATAGGTCTCATTGAAGGCTCGTTTACACAGCATTCTGTCACATTTAGTTTTTAATCTTCTTGGGCTTAAGTAGTTCTTTGGGTGCTCACCTTTCTTACCTGACTGTATAGGATTCTTTGTTTTTTAAACACAGTTAACATTGTTGCCAGAGCTGTTGTTAGGTCTATGTCTCTCTTTTGGTTTCTTAGCTGTTCCTTATTGTGTATGTTTGTTCCATGATCTAGATTTGCTTTGGGTTCCCTTTCTATTATTTTAGATGGTTTATGGTCTTATTTTAATTGTACAAATGGTTACATTTTTAAAAAATTTGAACCAGATTACATTTTCATTTTCTGTGTCTCCAGTGACTTCTTTCTACCAAAGGGTCTTTTTTTCCATGCCTTGCTCTGGAGGTGTTTCCTGCAGTTGGACAGAGTATACTTTCGGTAGCCAGTTTTCAGTGTGGAAAGGATTGGGGAAGGGTCCTGTTGTTACAGGCTGCAGTGGGGATGGTTCTCAGGAGCAGACCTGGCGTTCCCTTGCCCAGCATAAGGTGTGGTTTTTGAATTAGGTACTGAGAATATATTTATTACATTAAAAGTTTTTTTTTTTAATTTTTTATTTTTTTATGACTATGGAATTGGCTTTTGGAAAGACAGACGAGGGTATTATGGTATTTCCCTTCTCTTTAAAAATCTTTAGCCTGATCATCTAAGTCACCTCAGTCTTATATCTTTGTATCTTAGAGAATATAAGTCATTAATTAGGAAATACTTTTGAATAGGATCAATCAATGAAATTTCATCTTGGTTACAGAAATCCCTTTAGGCATTTCAGTCAGTTCATGATGCACAACTGCTTTAAATTAACTTCAGGCTTGGCTTTCAGAAGTACATATACAGATGCCCTGTTTGAGAAGGCGTTAGTGTTAAAGATATCTCATTCCCTCACTGGCGTGCGGGACACGACTATTACAATGAGGTACCAAGAACACATACTAAAAAGTTTCCCATTTTCTGAATTACCAGGTAACTGACTTACTGACCTTTGGAAAAGGGAGTGATATGGTTGAGTTATTGAACAAATAATACCATCTAAATATAATGTCAGCTCCTGCCTTCCTAGGTCATTGTTCCTTACGCGCAGGGCTCTCTGCGGTCATGCTGTAATTTGCTGTTTCTCTGCAAGTAAATTCCATTTTGTTACTTGTAAATTCCCTTGATATATGTTGCTGATTTTTTTTTCTTTAAAAGGTAAGGAGTGGTGTTTCTGTATGTGCAAAATTTATATTGATTCACTGAGTTGTCCCAGTGGTTCCTTGCCAGAGATATTAAAAGCAGGAGGGGAATTTTGGAAAATATTCAGGATTAAAATTAACTGGATCCTATCCAGCATATTTTTATGAGTGGATGAAGGGCTGTCTTTCCCATAGCTCAGCTAATACCAGATTGTTATAGTGCCCAAAATTACAAACATTTTGTAAGACCTATCCCTAACAAAAGGAGGAAAAAAAAAATCACTGCTTAAAATGTAGTTCTCGTTTTCTTTATCGGTTGAGTGTGTGAAGTGAAATGGCAGTTTCTGCTTGGTTTGGTGTGTGTTGTAGAATGTTTCTCCTGTCACTGCTGGAGTGTCCAGGAGGCCGGGCGATGTTTGCATTTGACGATGCTGTGCGGCTTCAGTGGGGAAAGGACTGTCCTGGGAGCACATTGGTCGGTGTGCCCCTCCCTTCTCCTCCTTAGGCCTGTCCTGTAAGCGGAACTGTGGGTTTCAGGGAGAAGTTCCTTCGGACGCTCAGAATGTGCTGAAGAGACAGGCGGTGGACTATGCCTGCTGGCCAGCCGTTTATGTCATGGTCTGGAAAATGGTGCTGTTTCCTGTGCCCTAGGCCCCTGCCTGTCTGCCCGTCTTCTCTGCTTCTACATGCCGTCATTTCCTAATTCCACGAACCCCGTGCCCACAGAATGTGTGTGGCGTTGTAGGGCTGTCTGGGGAGATGGAAGCTCAGGGAGGCGGGTGCTGGCGGTCAGGGGTTGACTCTGAGCAGAGTCGGTAACGTGCGCCAGGCAGGGGGTCTCACGGGAGTGAGACTGCGCTCTTTTCCACATCTGTCCAGCTGCACAGGATTGCACTTGGGCCCGCTACTGCTGATGTTCACTTTGATCTTTTGATTAAGGTGGTGTCTGTCAGGTTTCTCCAATGTAAAGCTATTCTTTTTCCTCTCTGTAATTATTTAATTCGTATTTTGTGGAGAGGTACCGTGCAACACATATATATCATATTTCTCATCAAATTTTTAATTTATTCATTTATTTGTGTTAGACTTATAGTTTCGTGTATCATCCAAGGAGTTATACTCCCTTATTATTATTACTTATTGTGATGCTCAGATTGTCTCAGATTTAGCTGCAGGGAGCCCTGTCATGCTGGAGGCCAGCTCTGGCCTTACGACATGTCCCCTGCATCCTTTGAACAGTTCCGTACTTTCTCTTATAACAATATAGTCTAGGCTCATCTAGCACTGTGTCTGTCTTAGCCCTGGAGTTAGTCATTTCTCCAAAGAGTCCTGGTTTCTCTTAGTGGAGAATGGTGGTTAGAAGCCAAGATCTGGATACTGATAGTGTTTATTGCTTATGGGCTGTTGTTGTTTTGAGGCCCTCCGATGGGACAGAGCTAAGGTTACATATACACATTTCTGTCTATATTTCTATATCTACATACATTGACAGTTGAGTTCACCCTGATACTTCTAATCCAATCTGGTACCACGGGGGTCATCCTATTTTTTTTCCTTTCCGAATTTATTATTTGCTTTTCCAGCAGAGACCTGGTTCCCCTTCTCCTTAACATACTTACTTATTTTGCCAGTCCCCCACCTGTAACCAGGCTAGTGTTGCTATCCCCTCTCACACATGACTCCTCAGCTGATGTGGGCTCTAACGCCCCATGCCAGGCAGCATTTTTAGCAAGTACCCTCTTAACTTTGCCAGCATTCTGATACCCTGAGCCAGGCCGCCCTCTGTGCTTGCGTCCGTGGCCTCTGCTTAGATTAAAGGGACCTAGATTAATAGTTTGCACTTGGGAGAACTCCAAATTCCTGATAGTAAGTCTGTATTTGGACTTCCCTGAGGGCAGGGACAAGGGCACGTCCCTTGTGGGGACCCTGAAGCCTCTGCCTTTTTAGAGTCATTTAGAGGTTGGCTCTGTTGAACAATGTGGCTTCCAGTTCAGGCTGCTCCTGCACGTGAGAGACGCATTTCCTCACGTCTGGGCTGTCACTGGGCCTCTTGGGCAGCCACAGGGATTTTCTCGGGGACTGCGGTGAGCGTGCCCCTCTGTGTGCAGCTCCCTGCTGGCAAGCTCTGCTTCCCGTCTCAGGTCCTTCCAGGGGAATCTGGTGCTCTGGTGTTTAGTGCACCCAGAAAGAGGAGCCTCCCTGCAGGGAGGACATCATGGCACCAATCTGGATACACAGTTGGGCTAAAGTGGGTTTTTTTTGCTTTTAATTTTTGGGGCTTGCCTTTAATTTGTTTTATGACATATGTATGTGGTTCCAAAGTCAAGTGTATAAAACAAAGTATATTAAAAGAAGTCTAGCTTCTGTGTTGGTCTCCTTCAACTCCCCTATCGATGACCATTTTAGAACTTTTATGTTTTATCCCTCCATTGTTAAAAAATAAGCATAATGTGTATATGTCTAGGTATGTGTCACATACATGTATGTATTGTAACCACTTTCCCTCTGATAAGCAGTAGCATAGTACACACTTTGACTGTCCTGCCTTTCTCACTTGTTAAATGTGTTCTGAGGTCATTCCAGAGCAGGATTTAGCGATACTCCTCATGCCTTTTCATAGCGGTTCATTGCTGCTCTATATGGATGGACCATGGTCTGTTCAACCAGTCTCCTGTTGAGGGGCCTCTGGGTTGTTTCTTGCCTTCAGCTGTTATGGATAATGTTTTAATGAATTGTCGTGTGCCTGCATCTTTTCAGAATTTTGCAAATGTAACTTGGAAAGAGATTCCAAGAGTGTGATTGGTGGGTCAGAGGGTAAATGCATATGTAATTTTGCCACTTCTTGACAAATTTCCTGCTAGTGGGATTGTTCCATTTTGCATTGCCCCCAGAACTGAATGAGACTTCTTGTTTCTTTAAAGCTTGGTCAATAAAATTTTGATTTTCTCCAGTCTGATAGGTGAGAAGAAGTATCTCAGGGTAGTTTTTTTTTTTATTAAAAAAATATAATGTTACATTAGTTTCAGTTGTAAAGGTAGTTTTAATTTGCGTTTGTGTTATGAGTGAGGCTGAGTATCCTTTCAAATGGCTGAGAGATGCTTGCCACTGTCAGCATCTCTAGCTCATTTTCCTGTAGAACAGTTGATCTTTTCCTTTTTTAAGAAAAAAGATTTATTTGAGAGAGAGACAGAGAGCATGAGCGAGCAGAGGGGAGGGGCAGAGGAGAGTCACAAGCAGATCCCGTGCACAACGTGCACAGCATGGACCCCAACACGGGGTTCGATCCCAGGATCATGACCCTGAGATCACCACCTTAGCTGAAACCAAGAATCGGATGCTTAACTGCCTGTGCCACCCAGATGCCCCGATCTTTTCCTTTTATTAGCTCTTTCTGTATTAAGGATATTAATCTTTTGTAACATTCCCCCAACTTTTCCACTTACTGTTTTACTTTGCTTATGCTTTTTGCCATGCAAAAGTTTTTCTTTGTTTAATTTTCTTTTTTAGAATTTTTTTAAAGATTATTTATTTACTCATTTGTCAGAGAGAGAGAGAGCGCGCTTGCATAGCAGGGGGAGCGGCCGGCAGAGGGAGAAGCAGGCTCCCCCTTGAGCAGGGAGCCCCATGTGGGGCTCGATCCCAGGACTCTGGGATCATGACCTGAGCCAAAGGCAGACGCTTAACCGACTGAGCCACCCAGGCATCCCTC